GGCAGGCTGATGAAATACACTGCTGAGGGGAGCAGCGGGCGCAACAGGAGAGGTCTGCTGCGCCATGTGGGACCCTTGCCGGCCGGCCAGGATAGAACCGGCACTGCAGAGGCTGTGGACAGCTTCACAGCGCTGCGCTCAAATGTGTGTGCCGCCAGGGGAGGCCGTAACTTTGATTTTAAATGATTAAGTTGTGGGTTTTTTTTTAAATTTTTTAAATTTTTATTTATTTTTTTAATTTTTTAAAAAAGATTTATTTATTTTATACACGCACTGGATACAATCAGAAGCGCAGGAGGGTGAGAGAATTCACCAGAGCGGGGAGCAGAGCAGGCAGAAGGACCGAGGTACACTGCTGAGGGGAGCAGCGGGCGGCAGGAGAGGTCTGCGCGCCATGTGGGACCCTCCGACCTGTGGCCTGGGAGCAGCCGGGGATCGAACCGGCACTGCGGAGGCTGACGGGCAGCTTCGCAACCCAGTGCTCAACCGCTGTGCCCCCGCAGGGGGAGGCTCTGACTAAATGTTTAGTTTGTATATTTGATTTCTGGTTTCAGCTTCATTAAGGTATATGCATATTTTTGAATCAAGTTAGTTAAAAAATATAAATCATTCCTTGCTTTCAGCTGACATACACCAAAGAAGATAACTATATAAAAACAACAGATATATTTAATATTTTTGTGATTTCTATAGATGCTGACTGGAAAATCAGCATTTGGATCAGAAAAGCATTTGTCAAATGTAGATTTTTAGTTCGCTATGAAAATGTACCATTTTTATTGGGACTGTAATTAACAAAAGTAGTTTAGACAAAAGATACTAACCATTTCTGAAATGAAGTTTCTGTACATTATTTACACAATGCATCAGGAGGAAAAAGCAGCTGGAAATCTATTTCATATATTTTTTTTGGCGAGTTTTGATACCTTTCACGAACTATCAGCTTCTACAATGGCTATGCTTCTTAGAGTCTTTTTTTTTTTTAAGATTTATTTATTTTTATACAAGAGCTGGGGTACAGGCCAGAGGCGCGGGAGGGTGAGAGGATTCACCAGAGAAAGAGTGGGGAACAGAACAGGCAGACAACCGAAATACACTGCTGAGGGAAGCAGCGGGCAAGACAGGAGCTGTTTGCCGCGCCATGTGGGAATCTCCCTGGCCGGCTGGGAATTGAACCCGTGCTGCTGCAGAGGCTACATACAACTTCACTGCGCTGCGCTCAACCCCCTGTGCCTCCGGGGAGGCCCTTCTTAGAGTCTTAAAATTTTGCAACTGGGAACAGACAAGGCATCTGTTTTAGATGTCTGTCCTTAAATAGATACATGAAAGCAAAGTTATGTTTCCTTTTCTTGAGCTTTTGTATTAACATTCTAAATTTCTGTGATATCTACTATATGTTTATGAAATTCATTGTTAAGGGATTTAAAATATAGGCAAAATCATGATCTTCATGCAAAGTTAAGTTTTTCTTTGGTACATGTAATATTTTAATTGACATTAGAATACTTCCTCAGGTTAGTGTTGAATTTGGACTTTGGCGGATACTTAAACTGTTGCTTCAAATGGTTAAGTACAGTCTTGTATGACTACTCAGTGCTTAATATTTTGTAGATATTCCATTAGTAATAATTTTCAGGGAGGTAAAACTGTCATGTCCCATTTTAGTCCTTAAATAAAGTACATATTAATTTGTTATGACTTTGACAACTTTCCATTGTTAAATATTTTCTACCTGTGAAGCTGAACTCAGGGAGGAAACATGGGGTTGGCATTATCTACTCCAGAGTCATAAAATTCTCTGATTTTAACTGAATCTTCGCCACTTTATGATCTTTAAGTTATTTTCTATTTTTGTAAATGTTAGTCTTCTCTGTGGTATGTTTGATCTTTCTTCTCTCCCTTTTTTTTTTTTTTAAGATTTATTTATTTATACAAGCACTGGGGTACAGTCCAGAGGCGCAGGAGGGTGAGAGAATCCACCAGAGACAGAGCAGAGAGTAGAACGGGCAAAAGGCCTGAAATACACTGCTGAGGGGAGCAGCGGGCAAGACAGGAGAGGTCTGCTGGGCCATGTGGGACTCTCCCTGGCCGGCCGGGAATCGAACCGGCCCCGCAGAGGCTGAGGACAGGACTCACAGCGCTGCGTTCAACCCGCTGCACCACTGGGGAGGCCCTGATCTTTCTTCTCTTTAAATAAGTATTCCCTGTTTTCGGGGAAAACTGCTTTTGCTTGACTTTGTTAAAATTTAGCTAATACTCTCTTTCATTCCTTTATTGTCAGATCATTTTTTCCTTCTTGCATAAACTCAAGAATAGAGTTGATCTTAATTGTCTTGTTTTGTTTTTTGCCTAATAGCTGTCTGCATTCCCCTGAGCTGCTTGCATGCTGCGCTTTGGGGAAATGGAAGGAATGGAGGGAGGGAGAGGAGAGGGAAAAGGAGAAAGGGAGAATGGGTGTGTGTGTGTACGAAAGAGAGAAATAAATGAAATGATCAGTGTTGTTTAAAATCATTCCTGAAGAAATTATACAGCTAAGGATAATTTGGCTTGATTGGGTTAGGGTTACAGTCACCTTCATAAGGAGGGTACAGACAACTCCTAACCACCCAGCTAGCAGTGAAACAGAGAGATAAACAGGTATTCCTGCTCTGCTCCTTTTGAGCCCTGTCTACTCCCACACTTACAGCTGCCACTGATGACTAATGTTTAGCAATTTTTAGGATCCTGTTCTTTTAATAGTAGTAAAGAGGAGTTGTGGTATCACATGGTTTCTGATTTTTTATTTAGAATGTATTTAATTTCCAGAAATTCTACTCTGCTCCAATTTCCAGTACCAATTTGAGGTTTTATTTTTAAAAAAAACACTGGATTTTATAAATGAAAGTTTCATTTTCCAAAATAAAATTTATAATCATCATGCTTTATAATTATGGGAGAATTTTTAGATTAAAGTGGCACATGGATTAGAAAGTCAGTGCTAATGAATAAAGACATTTGTTGAGAAAATGGATTGTGGAAAGGTTTCACATTCACCTTTTGACCTAAAGAACTCATCTTCTTTTGTTCCTAATTATTATTTTAGATTATATCAATGCAATTATTTGAGTCTCTTTCCTTTTTCATATTCCTTTACAAAGCTGATGAATTTATTAGGAAAATGATGGTCCTGTGGAATAAGAACTTGTGGTTACTTTCTTTTTTCTTTTTTTCCTTTCTTTTTGCATAGAAGAGGTGGGGTACGGCCAGAGGTATAGGGTGGGGTTAGTGGTGAGAGGACTCACCAGAGAATTCTGTGGGGAGCAGAACAGGCAGATCTACTGAAATACACTGCTGAGGGGAGCAGTGGGCAAGACAGGAGAGGTCTGCTGTGCCCTATGTGGGTCAGCTCCCTGCCATTGCAGTGATAGTGCTGAGACTTAACCCGTAGGCCACCATGGAGGCCCTATGGTTACTTTCTTACAACCAACAGTCATTAAAAATCAGAAAAGTTTTTATTAGGAAGTCCAGAAAAGAAAAGTTTTTATTAGCAAGTCCCCATTTTCTTTCTTTCTTGCTTTTTTTTGGGGGGGAGGGGGTTCTTTTTCTGCAGGACCTGAGAGTTAGCTTTGTAGTCTCTTGTTGACATATTTCTTGAACTTGTTGATTGGGTTTCTAAGTTAGAATAAATATTTAGATTTAACTAAAGGATTATCAACACTTATTTTTCTGGGGAGGGGTATTTAAAAAAAAATGAAACTTTTCTGAACAGAGAAAATGTTTACAGGTCCAGTGTCAAAATATGAAAAGGTAGACAGAAAAGTTTCTCAGTAGTTTCTGTTCCTCAGTAGATTGATAGTTGCTAGTTCTTGTTTATGCTTTCAGATGTACAGTATGTATGTATATACAAGCCAGTATAAATATATTTTCCCCATTATGTTCATTTAATAATGTCATACTGCATTAATTTGTAAGGAACTTCCTCTTAAAAACATCATAATTTATCAAACCAGTATCCTATTAATCAACAGTTAGATTGCTCCCAGTCTTTTGGTGTTGCCAGTGAAGAGTTTAACCCTTTGGTAAACCTGAATTCTGTTCTTTTTTCTAAATTTATTCTCATAAAATGTTTTCTATCGTTTATCCAGTGATAAATGATAGGCATTTCTATAGACTGGCTGAAATTCCCAGTTTGACTCAGTGCTATGGAAGATGGTAAGCCCAGAGTTTCAGCCTGACTTTCCTGACTTTCCATAGTGATTTGTAGAGGTTCTTACTCTTGACAGATTTTTTTGTTTTTTAATTTTCCCCAAACTATCTACATTCCTTCATTCTTTTCCTACCACACTGGAAAATATTTCATTTTGGGGCTGTCATTTGTAAAATGTTTTTCCTCTTAGATCTCCAGGAATAAGAATTCTGTAATCCTCATTATGTTTTCTTTACTCAGATATCTTGGGCATAAATTTTCAAATGTTTAGTCATATAGAAAAAATAGCATTTGTATCTGTAAAGATACAATTTATTGATGCTTCCTGCAATACCAGCACTAATCCGAAATTTGTTGTTTCTCTTTATTAAAATTCCTTTGTGTTCTCCCTGTTAATACTAATGCCTCACTCTTACCCCCAAGTTTCTCAAAGTTGTATTTGAGTTGGGAAACTTGAGGCTAGATACAGGTTATTGTAGAGGAAGAGAAAGGGCCCTAGATTTGAACACGTAAGAAAGATTGCTCAGGGAGTAATAGGAGGCAATATTTTAGTTTGTGAATCAGAAATGGGAATAAGATATTTGACATAGATACAGAAGAAAACATGCTTTCTGAATTAAGAAGATGGTTTAATTCTAAGATTAAAGTTTCTTAAGAAGCAAAATACTGCTATCGCTACAGTCTTTTTAGAATACTTTTAATAACTTTTCATGTAGGAAAAATTACAAGATCAAACTTGGTGGATATCTCTTAGAAAATTTGTACAGATGGCTGTTACTATAACAGTGAATGTATGTGTATTTTTTTCCTCTAGAATCTCTGGAAAAAGAGACGTGAATATCTGCAATGCTATTTCCTGACAAGAAGTTGATACAAGAGAAGGAAAGATCAGCAACTAGTGAGCAGAATTTTGAATAACCAGGATTTTGTATTTATCACCTCAAATACAGACTTCTGTTGTCTACTTTAAATCAGAGATAACTGCTTTCAGAACCCAGACAAGGCGAAAGGATACTTTTCTTCTGACATTTTTGAGATCAAAGAAATTGCAATGTCTAGGAAACAAAACCAGAAGGGTAAGATTACATGTAGGCATAAGTTGTGGGTAATGATCACATTTACATACACACATACCACACACATACTTCAAAGAAATTCTCAGCATTGTATTTTCCCTCACCCAGTGTACTATTATTGATAGATGTAACATATCATTTTTTTTTTAAATAATAAATTTTATTTTTATATTCCCCCATACAATTGCAAACGCCCCATTCTGACCCCAATCCTTCCCCTCCCGCCCCCCGCCCCCCAAAAAGTGTCTCTGGTTCATAGTTTTTTGTTGATTTTGATTTTCACTTTCTTATATTCATTTTCCTGGTCCCTTATTTAAGTTTTCTAGATTCCTGCTATGAGTGAGACCATCCGGTATTTTTCTTTTTCTTTTTGGCTTATTTCGCTGAGCATGATCCCTTCCAGCGCCATCCATGTTGCTCTGGGTACAGTCAGAGGCGCACCATGTGGGACCCTCCTCCGGTGGCCGGGGAGCAGCCGGGGATCGAACCGGCGCCGCAGAGGCCGCGGGCAGCTTCGCAACCCAGCGCTCAACCGCTGCGCCACCGGGGAGGCCCTGTAACATATCATTTTTGATTGCAGTTAATTTCAGAGATGTATAGAATATTTACAATTTTATCTGTTCTCTAGCTAATATTTGTGGATATTAGATTATAACTTTATGGGTTACTAATTTTAGAGTTAATTCATATAATGATTGCTTTACTGTGATAAACTTATTAATTGGAATATACTTTCAGGAAAACAAAATGCATCTTGAAAATGAACTTTTAGGAGAGTGAAGGTATTTTGAGGAGAGGTAGGAGATAATTAGCTGCAGGATATGAGTTGATGTTTCATTGAAGACAGGAAGTGAAGCAAGAGTAAAATACTTCCAGGTTTTTTTTTTTTTTTTTGCTTTTATTTTTTTATTTTTTTTTAAATAATAAATTTTATTTTTATATTCCCCATACAATTGCAGCCCCCCCATTCTGACCCCAATCCCTCCCCACCCGCCCCCGCCCCCCTAAAAGTGTCTCTGGTTCATAGTTTTTTGTTGATTTTGATTTTCACTTTCTTATAGTTATTCATTTTCCTGGTCCCTTATTTAAGTTTTCTAGATTCCTGCTATGAGTGAGACCATCCGGTATTTTTCTTTTTCTTTTTGGCTTATTTCGCTGAGCATGATCCCTTCCAGCGCCATCCATGTTGCTGCAAATTGCATGTGTTTATCTTTTTTGAATGCTGAGTAATATTCCATGGTGTATATGTACCACATCTTCTTGATCCAGTCATCTATTTTTGGGCATTTGGGTTGATTCCAAAGCTTAGCTATTGTAAACAGTGCTGCTATAAACATAGGGGTGCAGGTGTTCTTTGGAATTGATGTTTCTGTGTCCTTTGGGTAAAAGCTAGGAGTGGAATTGCTGGATCCTATGGAAGCTCTATGTTTAGTAGGTCCAGAAATCTCCACACAGCTCTCCACAGTGGTTGGACCAGTTTGCACTCCCACCAACAGTGCAGAAGAGTTCCTTTTTCTCCACACCCTCGCCAACATTTGTTGTTGCTAGTTTTTTTAATATGTGCCATTCTCACTGGTGAAAATACTTCCAGTTTTTAATTCCTCCTTTAACTTTCCTTCTGGGACTATTAATTTAGCGTCTTGTCTAAGGTAAAATGATAAGGTCCATAGAGTGAAGAAATATCAAAAATAGTTATAAGAGGGTAAGGACAACAATGACAGTAAAATTAGTTTTTCACCTTTCTTAAAATAGCTACAAAAGTTGTACAAAAATGAAAAATGATGTAAAAAATATATAAAATTAAAGAAAAATATAACGCAATGCTGGAAAAGCCTAAAAAATAGCTACAAAAGTTTAAAGATTTATTTTTTTATTTATGCATACAAGAACTGGGATCTAGGTGAGAGGTGAGGGGTGTGTGTGAGAGGATTCACCAGAGACAGAGTGGGGAACAGAACATGCAGATCTACTGAAATACACTGCTGAGGGGAACAGTAGGTGAGAAGGGAGAGGTCAGCTCAGCAACCTGACTGGGGATCAAACTCAGGCTGCAGTGGCTGGTGATAGCTTCGTAGCGCTGAGACTTTAATCCCTGCACCACCAGGGAGGCCCAAATAGCTATATAAGTTTAAAGGGACAGATTTACCAGTAGTATCAGAACTATTACTTGTAATTAGAATATATTTATTAAAAAAATGACCCTAGCTATCTTAACTTTTTTTCCTCATACAATTTACTTTTCAACTTATAGATTAATGTCTCACGTTTTAACTATGAAGGAAATACTTTGAACTTAATTTTGGCTTGACAGTTCAAAAATCCCATTATATGAAAATAATATACCAGAGTTGCTTTTGGTTTTGAAAGCTACAGTTTAGTTGTATAGTAAATCTCTAAATAAAACCTGATTTCTGAGAAATGGCTAGATGACTAAAGGAGGTAATCTATTGTGTGGAGTGAGATTTATGAACTGAAAAGCTTTCGTAGGCCAAGTTTGCTTTTTCTTAGTCATAATTCACTTTGCCTTTTCCCCAGTTATGGTTGAAATACTGAATATGTTTTGCCTCCTGCAGATGTTCCAGACTCTAAAATAAAATAATTTCATCTGAAAACCTTAGCATTTAACTCTTCCTAACTTCAGATTGCTTAAACTTTTTTTTTTTTGTGGGACCCTTGCTGGCGGCCGGGGAACGAACCGGCGCTGCAGAAAGAACCAGCGCTGCAGAGGCTGTGGGCAGCCTCGCAGCCCAGTGCTCAACTGCTGCACCACCAGGGGAGGCCCCCTGCTTAAACTTTTTTAAAACTGTAGTCTGTTCATTTCATGTCTGTATTTTGCAGGACTATAGAAATGTAATTGGTACTTAATTAGTATAAAATTAATTTAAATTTTAGACCACATCATAGGAGTTAAGTGCTAACAAATTTTGATTGACCTTAGTCTGAATTTATACTTAGTTGGAAACCAAAGAAGGCTAGTATGTTGTTAGACGTTTCTGTAACAAATGCATGATATTTGAACTAAGAAAAAGACAAAAATACTGAAAGAATTCTTTCTTATTTATATATTTAAATTTTTATTTTGGGGGCCTCCCCGGTGGCGCAGCGGTAGAGCGCTGGGTTGCGAAGCTGCCCGCAGCCTCTGCGGCGCCGGTTCGATTCCCGGCTGCTCCCCGGCCACCGGAGGAGGGTCCCACATGGTGCGCAGACCTCTCCTGCCACCCGCTGCTCCCCTCAGCAGTGTACTTCGGTCCTTCTGCCTGTTCTGCTCCCCGCTCTGGCTCTGGTGAATTCTCTCACCCTCCCGCGCTTCTGACTGTACCCAGTGCATGTATAAACAAAACAAATGAACAAACAAATAAATAAATAAATAAAACATGCCTCTATAAAAAAAAAAATAAATAAAAAAATAAAATAAAAAAAAAAATAAAATAAAAATATAAATTTTTATTTTGGGGTTTTATTAGTCCAAAGAAGTATGCTGACTTTATCAATTTAGTTAAGCTACATTAAGTAAACATTAATACATGTGAGATATTAAACTATAGCGCCATGGTAGTTTTTATCCTGTAGTGACAACTCATTTACAAAGTGCTATTTTGAGTTTTTATTCCTTAATGGATGATGTTTTCATATTTCTTTTGTCAGTAATACTTAGAGATTTCTTATTTAAGGTAATATTTAGTAGAGTTACATATGAATGGCTTAAATTAAGGTCAATTTCAGTTGCAACTATTGATTGTTCTGAGCTTTTTAGCCAACGCTGCCGGAAGTCATTCAGATCAGTGCTTCTCAGTATGATCCATGGCTGCTGCCTGTCTATGAGCTGGAGAAATACCTAGAAATGGACCGTATATAGAATTCCTTTTATAGCAAGTTGACAGTGCTCTACCATCCAAGCTCTTTTCAAAATAGCTTTATTGAGATATAACTTAATACCAACAAATTCACCCATTACAAATGTATAATTTATTTTCAGTAAAATTATGCAGTTGTATAACCATCACAACAATCCCGTTTTAGAACACTTTCCTCCCCCTAACCAGTTCTCTCTCACCTGTTTACAATCAATCCTAGCTCCCAACCCTAGTCTCTGGTAAGACTGATCTACATTCTGTCTCTCTTGTTTTGCCTTTCCTAGAAATTTTATATAGACTGACTAAGGCAGTATTTTTTTGTCTGCTTTCTTTCACTTTGTGCGAATGCTTTTCCCCCACTAACAATTCTCTGATAGCAGCTGGGTGTGCTACAATTCAATTCTGATAATTTATGCCTGGCGTTAGCATCAGGTTCCATAACACTGCCTGCCCCATTTCAGAAGCCGGTCGTAAGTATAGTAAATCCTCAACATCATGGATCCTTTCTTGGAAACTTGACTTTCAGTGAAACTGATGATAATGAAATGAAGGCAGGCCCTTGAGTAACACGGCTTCCTTCAGTCTTGGCTGGGATTATTTTGTTCTCATCAATATTATCGCAAAACCACTTTGAACAAAACAGATCTATTAAAAAACTTACTGTGGTGAGTCCCTAAGTTGTACATACTCTTGTTTGCCAATATGTGGGTCTACAGTCCCTTACCAGGTTCAATAATTTGTTATAACTAACATGCACAGAACTCAGGGAAAAAACTTAACTTACATTTATTGGTTTATTACACAATAAAAGATACAGCTGAACAGCCAGATGAAGATATATATAAGGTGAGGTCTAAAGGGTCCCTAGTAGCACAGTAACTTCTGTCACAATGAAATGGGGTATGCCACCCTTCCAGCACATGAATATGAGCACTAACCCAAGAAGTCTCTGAACCCCATACTTTAAAAGTATTTTTATGGAGGCTTTATCACATAGGTATGATTGAGTATTAACACTGTCTAGCTCTAATCCCCTTCTCAGAGGATAGGGCTTGGGGCTCAGAGTTCCAAGCTTCAATCATGATTTTTCTAAGAACAAGCCCCCATCCTAAAGCTGTCCAGGAGACAACCAAATTGCTTCCACCA